AAAAATCTACAAACACAATTTAGAAAAACAATCAACTTTAAATATTTAGATGTGCTCTAGTTCTTTTTCTTTTCTTTTTTGTTTCTCCTTAATTCTTTTTAGGGAACAACGAATACTACCAATAAAATGATACTGGGACAATTAAATTTATCAAATTTTGTTTTTAATCTCTAATTTACATCTTATGTACTTCAAAAGTACTTTTTTTTCTCCATAATTATATTGAGAAACAAATAGCAATAAGACAGTTTCAAATCAAATTGGTAGGACAGTTTCAATAATTAACACATTGCATACTCTCTTCCTAGTGGTTATTTGCTGTACAAGATGCAGACATGATATCCTAAAGCAATGGAATGTTTAAGATAATTGTCTGCCACATAGATTTCATATCTGTGATTTTGTTTATACAGAATGTAAACTTAGTTAACTTGTACCCTAACCTACAATAAAGGCACTCCAGTATCATGTTCTAGTTCCTCTGTTTCTGCTAGTTGAAAGCCATATATATTTAAGGGATAAAAAGAGGAGTTATAAACATGTAAATTCACTTATCCTATCACATAAATTTAAATCCTATGATGCTATTAATGTTGGTAAGGGTTGAATAAAAGGACATTATTTTTAAATGAAAAAAAAAAAAAGAATACTACCAGGCTTTTCAGCAGGCTAAGGCATTGTTTTCTAAGTATTTCTCTGACAGTTTCCTAAATCAGTGTTGAGAAGATAAAAGCCAGTGAGGGCTGGCCAAATAGCTCGGCTGTTTGCTTAGGCAGATGCAGGGGCTGGGATTTGATCCCTGGTGTGCCATGCTGGCCCTGGTCCCAGGGTGTGCTGAGACAGCGAATGAGACTGGGAGTAGTGGCACACGCCTGTAATCCCAGCACATGGGATGCTGAAAATGGAAGGAGTCTGATCTGTGTAGTGAGACCCTGAGGTCTCTATACTAAATGCATTAAACAACAACAACGAAAAGGCAGTGGATTTTAGTTAATGTAGTTACTTTTACCTTATTTGAAAGTGTAGATTTAACATGTTTTACTGTGCACTGGCCCAGTTTGTTTCCCCTTCTGATAGGACTTTACCTAATTAGGGCTTAACATTTTATAAATGATTTCTGTTCTCCTGGAGGCTCTGAAATATCTAATACACACTAATAAACAAATTCTGAGCTGTCTTTTTAATTTTTAAGCTTTTCATCTTAATCTTATTGACCTGAGTCAGGTTGAAACAGAAATATCAAATATTAAAAAAGGAAAATTTAATATTCAATAAATTATTATTTATTCATTTTTACACAGTAATTTGTATATATAGAATATGAAAAAATACCATTTACAACCAAAAATAAAGTTAATTCAGGCAACCACCATCATTAGTAGACAAATGGCTGACAGGGAGGAGACTTAAAGGCCGAAACCAAGCCATCACTAGCTCACCCACTGACAGACGCCTGCCATGGTAAAACAAGGTGTGCAGCCTTACCTACCTATGAAGAAGTCCTACCAGAAAAAATCTAAATCTATTCAATCTTCCTAAACCAACTTGTAATTTGACTTGAGGTAGAGAAAAAGAAGTTAAACACTAGCACAAGAAAGGAGACAGACAACAGGATATTCCACTAAGTGACTCAGCATCTGTAAAAAGACAGTGGAGTAATAGAGATTTAAGATGCATAATAAAATGTACAGAATGGATTCTGAATGTAGTAAGTGGATCTAAATTTTAAATTTTGAGATAATGAGGAATGATTGCAAGGAATTACTGCTGTGCAAATTATGAAAAAGTTACTCATGGTTAACTAAGAAAACAGTCATTTTTGAGAAAGATATACTCAAGAATGTTAACAGTAGGAATTGTTCTGAATGTCTTTAGCAAAAGAAAGAAAAAATGTATATAAATAGGAGAAAGAAAATGTGGCAAAAGCTTGCTAACTGCTCATAAAGACTTCACTGTATAATTCTACTATATGGTGTATTTCTGAAAATGTGTAAAAGATATTCATAGCAACCCAACATTAAAATCACTCTAAGAAACTTACTAACATACCAGGGAAATAAACATGATATTTTTAAAACACAGAGGTGAACTAAAAACAGTTTATAAAATTATAAGCTACTAGTTCCATTAAAGATTAGAAATACAATTTTTAGAAGATTTTAAAAGTGTCAACCTTTTACCCTTTATTTCTAATCTAGTATAAACTTATGCTCTTAGAGTTAAAAATTATGTTACTTCACCATACCTCTCCGTTAATACAATTGGCTTTTCCAGTGGCTCTGCAGGAAGTTTATGATTTTCAAGAAGTCTTTTAAATAGCAGGGCTTCTTCTACTCTATATGGATTTAGTAACATTATCTCTGTTTTGCATGTAATTAACCAGGCATCAGGAAACCTGAGATTGTGGATCAAGTAAAGCTCATCTTTTTCTTCTAAGTCAATTTTTTTTTGTTTCTCAAAATTTATTTTCAAATTTTTCATAGAAAAAGGGACTTGTATTATTTTAATACTTTCACCCCTTTTTTTGTCCTTTTGGGACTGAAAGAGCACATCAAGTTTGGGCTGATGAGATAATGAGGTTTTCAACTTGTGCTTCTGTGCCAAACTCCAGGCGCCGGTGGGTTTTATCTTTCTCCTGCCATCTTTTAATGGTATTTGTGACTCTTGTTCAATGGCTTTCTTCATTTGACTATTATATCGTTCCAAGTCTTTAGCAGCCTTTTCTTCATATCTGAGAATAGAGATAAAAGAGTACAAATAAGGTCATATCAGAAATATATTACTACCTCAAGAAAATGTAAAAAAAGAACTAGTAACAGGTCTAATAATAAAGCATGTACTGGTCTAATCTTTCTGTATATGTTCATGCTACACTGCCAACAAAATACAAAATTCATCTACTTAAAATAAGCACTGAAGAGCAACCAAAAGTGGGCAGAAATCAGCACGGATGCACATTTCTACAGCTACTGTGGGCTGTTTCTAGTAGTGAGGGGGTGACAAGTAGCCTGTGTCATAAGACCACATAATTACTCACTTCTCTAACAACTTGAGAGAAAATTCCACATGTACAAGCCAAGAGGAAAACAACCACGAGATGGCTAAAGGAGCTGAGCAGACTTTCAGATGCTGCCTAATGCAGAGGAAACATAGGAGTGTGGAGCCTGAATTCCACACAGTTTTATGGCTTGGTAAACACCTTGTGCTTTCAATTAAAACCGAGGAAGGCTGTAATTTGGAGTGGGAAAAAAAACAACTATCCTAGAAGTAGAACCCTCACAACCTCTAACAAAGTGAAAAAACCTTCAAAAGCTGCATGGTAATTTGCAATTTAAGTATCTTGTTAAACAAAAATTAATACTTTGCAGAAAAAGAAAACAGAAGCCAGAGTTTCAAGCATGTTTTGCACAAAGTCCAGTTATACAATTATAAGTTACCACTGAAGCAATGAAAGAAAAATGAGTCATTATCAAGAAGCCCCAAATGTTATATATAACTAGTAAAGACAAAAATAGTTACTCATAAATGCTTAAAGATGTAAATACGAGAAATATTAACAAATAAATTATTTTTAAAAAGTGAAAAGAAAATTCTAGATTTAAAAGATTTGGAGCCCTAAATTTTAAAAAATAGAAACTTAGAGAAGAAAGCAATATGGGAAGAAATAAATCCTAATGATTAGTTAATGTGAAGAAACCTAACAATTTACAGATCTGAAAGCAGCAAATCCAAAGCAGAATAAATGTAATCTACAGCTAGAGACATTAGAATCAAACTGGTGAAAAATATTAAGATAAAATCCTAAGATTAGTCAGAGAGAAAGGGGAAAAAAGGGTAAATGTCATCACAATACATAAATTAACAGTTTTAAGTTGCAAAATCCAGATATGATTATATCCATCAAAAATGTCCTTCAAAACAAATATTAAATTGCTATTTTAAATAAGAAGGGAATTTTCTGCCAGCATACTTGTGGTATTAAAGAATGACACTAGACAGAAGTAGAATTTTACCTGCCAAATTTTTACATTTTATATTAATACATGAAGACTAAGTAATTATGAAAAATTAGGAATACACAAAGTATTCACCAAAGGAAATGTATTTAAGGCAACAGAATTAAAATTAGACATTAGCCATGTTGGCCTCACCCCCAGGAGCCCTGAGACATGATTGAGACTGGGCGTGGTGATGCCCCTGTAATTCCAGAGCTTGGGAGGCTAAAAACAAGAGGACACTATGAGTCCGATCTGTGTAGTGAGACCCTGCAGACCCTATACTAAATACACAAAAAAATTAGACACTAACATACATTTATTTAATCTTAAAGTAGCCTGTTTCCCTTCAAAAATAGAAGAATAGAAGAAAACTGTACAAGCAGAAAGTGGGAAAATGGCAGATCTCTAAGTCATACTTTTAGACAAAATATAAAATTAAAAGAGCAAGAAAAAGATACATCAGGAATAAAAAAGTCAGACAGGCTGCTGAAATATAAGATGAAGTAAATTTCAACACAAGACAGTATCAGAGATAAAGTGGCCCTTAGAGAGGTAGAACAATTACAAACGCTTATGCATCTAATTACAGAACTTCAAATTAAGAAAAACTTACAGAACTAAAAGTAGAAGAAAAGTCAATACAGAATCCAAATTGATGATACTAGTACCCTTCCTCAAAAACCGCAGAAGACTTTGGTAATACTAGCAATTGCTGCCGTGTAATTTGATATTTTGGAATACTATTATGTAGCAAAGACAGAATCCTAATTTTTTTTTTTTTTTAAATGAACATGGAACACTTAGTCTCTGTTGAGGGGAACAAGTCAGATACATATCATATAATTACATATATATGGAGTCCAAGTACTAAGGAAACCAAGATAGTGCAACTGAAAACAAACCAACAGCTGCCTGTGGAGCTTAGCTGGAAGGTAGTAGGAGGATTTCTCCAGGATGGAGATGCTGCGTATTGTATTTGGGGTGCTGTTTATATGGATGTAGACATTTACAAAAATCCATCAAACCATGCTGTTAAGATCCTTGGATTCACTTCTGGTAAATTTTACACAATTTAAAAGAGTAATTTAGGAAAGTACTGGAGCAGCTGGGCCTGGTGGTGCATGCCTGCAATCCAAACACTCTGAGAGAAGAAGGCAAGAAGACCGCAAGCCCAGCAACTTAATGACTTTGTGAAGACAACAAAGGGGTAGGGTTGGAGCTAAGCACCACAACACAAAATGAAAAGAAACAAACAGAAAACCCAGAAAGGATACTGGGTACAGGTACTCAAAAATGGGTAGGATGAACGAGTCTTCTGTCAGTAACCAAAGCAGTAAAATGAAACCTTCAGGACCAAAGGCAGTCTAGCACAGCAGGTATGTCAACTCTTTTCTGTGAAGAACTGAGATGGGTAGGCCCCACCCTGAAGGTTGGTAATTCTAAGGCCTAGGTGCAGGGGGGCCTATTCTAGAAACAGCCTACAGGTGATTACTTGTACACCTGAACTGGAACCCCTGCTAAGTATTCACTGAAGTGTAGCAGTAAGAGACCCTCTGGAGAAAGCTAGTGTGGCCCAGTTCTGCCACTCAGAAGCCTTGCAGACTATGCAAATTAACTTCTGCGTGCTTCAGGAATGCTCAAAGCAATAATACATTGACACTTAGCATCTGCTTCCTATTTGTGTTCTGAGGAGTAAATGAGTCCAAAAGCGCCCACTGGAGTAGTGCCTGCACGCAGTGACAGCTATGTTTAGCACATGTTTTTCCATCAAGAGCACTGGTCGGGCCAAGAGGTGCAATAGCAAGCACAAGGCCCCAACTTCGACCCCAGCACCAAGAGAATGGGACACAACCATTACAGGCTGGCATTAAATAACCTTAATTTTTTAAAGCAAGCTTCACATTAGAAAAATGTTTAATAATACAGAGACAGAAACATAGGGACTAGAGAATTATGGTTATATCTAGTCTCCTATTTCTTAAGAAACTAACCAAATTCTATTGTAAGTAACATGAATAAAATATTTTAAAGAAACAACTTGAATATGTATGCTTAGGAAATAAAAAATGGTATTATTAGCATCAGAGAGTTGATATTGTGGCCAGTTTATTGTTTTCATCTCTCTAGGTCCACAGTTTTCTTTTCTTTCTTTCTTTCTTT